AAAAAAAAAGAAAAAAGAAAAAAATATATATAAGTATTCATCAGTTACATAAATATGGTTGTTACTAAAATAACATCAAATTCCCTTCTAACTACACAGAAATCTAAATTCAAGCCTTCCACACTTTACCTAGACAATGCATACATAAAATAAACATTTAAAACTATTGGGCCAGGGAAGTGGCTCAGTACAGTAAGTGCTTGCTTGCCAAGCACAAGGGCCCTGAGATCAACCCCTGGTTCTGCCAAAAAATTAAAAAATAAAAATATATAAAACACTTTTGAAATATTAACATCCCCCAGATTCGTTTATCATTAGAACATGCCCTAGTTTTGAAAATAAAAGGTAAAGCTCAAACATCACTGTATACTGAGGGGGGAAAGATATACTCAGAGGTTAACAAAACGAGGTAAGCGCTGTCCCACTACCCTCCAGCTGCCATACAGACTCAGGGGCCAAGAGAAGAGACAGGAACAGACCTGCGCTCACCAACAGAGGAGCAACAGCAGCCTCCGGGCAGCTCCACAGAACCCAGAAGAACGTGTTCCCTCTCAGCAGCCCTAGCTTGACAGCTGAAGAACACCATTCTGAATTTTATTTAGAAATTCTTAGGAAAAAACCTTCCCTAAAAAAAGTTCACACTAAACAATATTCATTTCACATCTCTATGTAATTCTTGGGATCAAGCACCAGTTTCTTTTTCAATCTTTATACCTGCAGACAGTGCTGGCAAGTCCACCAAGCAGTTCACTTGGTAACCTGCTAAAATTCTGTTTTTAAAACACATAATAAAACATACAGTCACATGATTGATAGAGGCCAGATGTGGATACATATACTTTTTTTTAACATATACTCTTATAGAAATTCTCTGTTTAGTCTATTACAGACATAAAGAAAACTATTATTATAATACTATTTGTGCCCTATTGCTTTCCATTTATGTAACAATAATCTAACTGTTCACAGACATCCATCCTTCATCATGTACCTCTTCAGAGGAGTCTTACTACAGATATTTCAGTGGGTGTTCCCTAGGTTTTTAACAATCAGGAGTGAACAAAATAAACGAGTAGCCAACAAATTGTGTAAAACCATCTAGTCTTTTTCAACATGGCACCAAGGAGAACTTCAGAAAGCACAGAGCAATCACAATTATGTCTCTATCCTAACCCAGAAGTCTCTAACTTTCCTATTCTTGGTCGAAGAGCAAATAAAAAGTTCCTTTACATCTCCAAAACATTTCCACTTCTTTCCAAAGAACATGTGTCATTTCTGTATCTCAACAGTTGATGTCCAGATAAATGAACACGTATACAACACAAACACACACACACGCACGCACACACGGAAAGGAAAATGTCCTCACGGAGTGGGCAGATATGATTCACTTACCTTGTCTCTGGGTTGTAGCCTAATATGTAGAAAAATGAGTCCACTCGGGCTTTAAATTCTCTTGCAGCAAATATGTCAGAAAAATGGGAGATGTTACACTTCCCTCTGGGAAAAAAAAAGGCAAAAATAAATCAGTAATGCCCTTAATTGTCTTGCAAACCAAAATACTACTGGATGGATACAGGAGGAAATACACAACTAAACCCATGGTGTGTGCAGAATTCCACACTTGACTGCAAGTTTGGTTTTTTTGTTTCATGCCTGCTTCAATGTTCAACATTGGAACTGAAAGAGCTTTTATTTCACCATTTTGGTAATAAAGTAAAATTAATTAAACCATAGGGATAAATTGCAGACAAGACTGTGATAAAAGGATGTTAAGCAAACTGGATTTTAAAGGGGGAGGAATAAAAACCACAGGGAAAATTCCTAATGAAAAATTTAGTCTAAATTAGTCTTTCACTGCCCCTTTCTTATTAATTATTACAGGCAGAAAATATAATGGGTAACACTAAATAGGATAACATCATACATTCCTTCAGAATATTGCTTCTGATACAGCAGTATTTTTAACACACAAGAAATAAACTGTTTGGAAATTTTAAAATCTAGAGAAATTAAAACTCATTACATAAAGATGGGCTCTACTATACACTTTTCAGATTTTCAGGTAACACTGACTGTAAGTTAAAAATTACTTTCCTATAGAAATATTGCAATAAAGAGCAGTAAAGTTCCTAGGTCCAACTACCAATAAAACCCTTCTTCATATCTGAATACTCTACCATACTGCACAATGTGCACCAAGAACCCGATGAGGGCCGGCCTGCTAGCTCAGCACACTAAAGCACCTGCTTAGGCAGAGCACGGCAGCCGATGTTCAATCCCCAGCGTGCCGGCACTGCCCCAGAGGTGTGCTGAGATGGCAGTGGAGCCTGGGCGTGCTGGTGAGCACCTGTAATCCCACTGCTTGGGAGATTGGGGAAGCTAAAAACAGGAGAATCAGTACAAGTCCAATCTACATAGGAAGACCCTGTCGACCCTCTCCTAAATACAAAAAAAGAAAAAAAGAAAAAGCACCCCATGTACAGGGTAGAAATATTACAACAGGGAATAAGGCCTGACTCCCCACCCCCTACACACAAAGCTGCAGGGTTCCTGAGCAGAAGATGTGGGCAGCAGGGGCGCTCCATCTCTTTCCACAGTACGAAGGGATCTCTGGTGTCCAGTGGAAGCCCAGGGCTGAAATGAGGTGAAGGAGCTGGCGTACCAAGGGCGCCCATCTCCCCAACAGCACTCTTGGTGCAAGCCAGAGCACACACCCCCTCCTTGCAAAAGACTCCAAGTCATCGTTGCAGGGTCTGATTTAGGACAGGGTCTACAGGGTCTCACTATATAGATCAGACTCCTAGTGATCCTCCTGCTTTCAGCCTCCCAAGTGCTAAGATTACAGGTGCACAGTAGAATAAGTGCTTGCCTGGCAAGCGCAAGGGCCTGAGCTCAATCCCCAGTTCCGAGAGGAAAAAAAAAAAAAAAAAAGATATATATATATGTAATAAAAATAGATTACAGGTGCAGGCCACCAAGCTCAGTCTCAAATGCCCTCTGCGCCCCACAGGCAGGGCCAGCCAAGGCACAGCAGGGAATGAAACCCAGCGCTGCACTGTGCCTAAGCAGGCCTTTTAGTCAGCTGAGCTATCATATCAGGCCAGCCCTGGGAATTTTTTTTTTTTTTTTGGTGGAACCGGGGATTGAACTCAGGCCCTTGCGCTTGCCAGGGAAGCACTTATTCCACTGAGCCATCTCCCCGGCCCTGGGAAAATATTTCTAACAAGACATTTTAAAACTAGAGTCTTCCTTTCCCTCAGGATTTTACAATCAAAGCATCAGGAATGGGCAGTAGCAAAGATGCACTCATTTCATCTCCAATTTTAAAGTCAAGTAACAGTAATGCTGACTCGTTAAAGCCCACCTGGACACTAAAGAGGAGTAAACAACTGAGGGTCCCCAAGTGCTTTAAACATGGTTGGCCCAACTACGAAGAGAAGAATTTTACATTTTATTTAATCTTAATTAAAATGACATTTAAGGGCTGGCAGTATAGCTCAGCAGACTAAGCACTTGCTTAGGTAAGCGCAGGGGCCAGGGTTCAATCCCTGGCACGAAATGCTACACCGGCCCCGGCCCCGGGCACACTGAGCTGTGATGGAGTCCAGGCGTGATGGTGCATGCCTGTAATCCCAGCACTGGGGAGGCAGAAATCAGGATCACTAGGAGTCCAAGCTGTGTAGTGAGACTCTGCCCCCTGCCAAAAAAAAAAAAAAAACCACAACAAAACCTTAAAAACAAATTCTAAAATAAGCCTAATAGCCAATGTACACCGTATTTCCATCCCCAGAGAAAAGTTCTACTGGAAACACTGCAGCATATCTACTATTACTAGACACTGCAATTCAGTTCAAAGAAAACACACACGAGGCCCTCAACTTGCCTGGCCCAGAACCCACCTCTAGACCTTAACTGAAACTAAAGTCAGTTTCTGATAGAGGCAAAGGTCATTGTTACAGCTGAATGATGAGCTTTAGTCTAAAACTTACTACCCATCCCTTCTAGGGGCTTTAGTCCAGAAACGACAGGAAAAGTAAGTTCCCTCCTCAGTTAAATAGGCAAGAACTAACTATGTCATAAACATGGTAGGGCACAATTATGAAACTCTGCATTGTACACCACACTGTGTAAAATCAATCATTTCTATTAATGTCCATGACCAAGGAAATTATTTTATATATTACACTGAAGAATAATTATTTCATTAATTAAAGGTGCAAAAGCCCTTGCACTCCATAACCCTAAACATAGGTACCAGAAGTCAGGCATGACTAGGGCATGGTTCAGCAGTACTCATGAGTTGGACTAAACATGAACCCCATCTGCGCCAAGCAGCAGTCAGGACTATCTCTGGCCACATACACAGTGACAACTGAAAGTGTCTCAAGACACTGCCAAAATGTCTCTGGCAAGAGCAAAATAACTGGTTTAGGAAAAAACAGTAGGACCCTGTGTTCCAGAGTCACAGCAGTCACCATGGTGAGGCCTGAGGCAGGCACTAACTCGGGACGGAGAAGCCAAAAGGGCAGGGCGGCAAATTCCGAGCCCCAACTAGGCGGAAAGAACTGTGCTCCCTTCTCATGAGTACCACACAGCGGAGTCTGGGGGCGCCTCAGCCCGGCGGAAGCTGGAGGGCAGAGGGGCAGCAACCTGTGGCAGGGCGCTGCGGGCCTGGACTGTGGGGCTTGTGTGGTGGACCAGAAGCACCTGGTCGGCACGACAGCGGTGTGCCCTGCCTCCCGAGAATGAGCCACCCTGGGCAGCGGGAGGTGGAAGATAGGAAGTCCTCGAGCCTTGGGGCTCTGCACAGCCCCTGGCGTTTGCCGGTTATTGTCTCCACACCCGGTACTGAACTGGTTCCCAGGCCTGGGAAGGGTAATATTTCTACTGTACTTTTGGCCCCCGAGAGCCAGTTCACAAACCAGTGTGCTGGCCGGTTGACTGGGAACCTTTAGAAAGACATGGGTTGCTGGGAGCGGTAGCGCACATCCGTACTCCCAGCAATCTGGGAAACTGAGACTGTCGAGACCACCTTGAACTACACAGAGACCCTGTCCAGGGCTGGGAAAGCAGGTCTGGGAGGCTGAGGCAGGAGGCTCGAGAGCTTGAGTCCACCTTGGGCAACTCAGTGATTTAGCCAAATCCGGTCTCAAAATTAATAAAAATTTTAAAAGGTGAAAAAGAAAAAGAAAAAACAGTAGGAATTGATGTATATCAGCAGATACATTACTACGACAACAGAGCAAGATTACTATCTTTATGTCCTTTATCTGTCTGCTACATGGTTTCTAGTTATGAATGTCATGAATTCTTGTATGTTAATTTTACGGCCTGCTACTTGCTTGAATTTCTCCTCCACAGACTGTTTCAGAGGCAGGGTATGGCTATGCACCTAGGCTGTTCTTGAACTCCTGGGCTCCAGCAATCTGCCTCAACCTCCTGGGTAGCTGATCACTACAGTGGGCTACACATCACTGCACCAAGCCTACAGAGCTTCAGCACACATTCTTAGAGGTTTTCCTAGGTATGTTATCACGTGCAAAAAAATAGTTTTGCTACTTGTTTATTCTCTTATGCCTCTAATTGCACTATACCTCTGGTACAAGTGGAATGTAGTAAAAATAATGGATGCTGCTGCCATGTTTCGGTTTCAGTGGAAAAGTTGCTTTTTACCCCATTAAACATCCTAGTTTTAAAGATAACCACAGTTTTGGAGCTGATCATATAGTTTCTTCCTAAAAGTTTATTAATATGGTCTATGATACAATAGCACCTGATTCATTAAATCAACCTTGTAAGCCAGGCATGAGGTGCACAAATGTAATCCCCACACTCAGAAAGCTGGGTCAGAAGGACTGCTGCAAGCTCAAGGCCAACCTGGGCTTCACAGTGAGCCTGAACTACATGGTGAGATCCTGTTCAAAAAAAAAAAAAGTCACCTTGTATTCCCGGAATTAATCCTAGTTAATCACAACTCCTTAGGAGGAATGTAATCATTATGTAACCACGCACCAATAAAAATTAACAACCGCGGCCAAGGAGATAGTTCAGTGGCTTAAGTGCCTGCCTCGCAACTGCAAGGTTCCAAGTTCCACTCCTGGTACCACAAAAAATTAAAACATAACATTTTAAAATCCCAATTGGTCAGAACATGTATTTTTTTTTTAAATATATTTTGATACAGGGTCTACAGGGTCATACTATACAGACTGGACAAGTAGTGATCCTCCTGTTTTCAGCATCCCAAGCACTGGGATTACAGGTGCACACCACCACACCCAGTCTCAGTTCCCATCTCAGCAAGCCCCGGGGATGTTCGCTGCCAGACATTTTAATCTACTGAGATATCTGGCTGGCCCAGAACATGCATTTTTTTAATTTTATTTTTTATTTTTGGTACCAGACATCGAATTCAGAACCTTGCACTTGCCAGGCAGGTACACAAGCCACTGAGCTTACTCCCCCAGAAAATGTATTTTTAAATGAAGTCTGAGAAT